GCAATATCCGTGCCCCAGATGGCCCCGGGCCTCATACACAGGTGGGGGGTCCTAGCACCCAATCCCACCTACCCCAAACAAGTTCTGTCCGGTCCCAAGAAACCAGCCACAGATCCCAGGTCAATTTACCCTCTGGACCTTACCCACAAATCACGCTGGGCCAATCCTTTAGCATCTACCATCTAAAGGTTTATTGCTACAAGAAAGAAAAGCCTGAGAGTAAGGTTGTTAAAGGATAATACTTTACATGCACCGAATCTCCCAGTTTTCGATGCAGGCTCTAGCAGAGATGTTACAGCTGCTGGCTTAAAAGTCCTTGATGCACATCCTACGTCAGGATGGGTCCACAGTTCTTCCCGGCTCGTGATTCCCTGCGAGGCCGCATCCGGGGTCAGGAGCAGATCTGGAGACCAACTTGGAGTTGACCACATGGCATATTTATACCTCCTTCCTGGCTTCTTCCAAGCTGGCCCCCGTCACATGGCCAGTGGCCAGGTGTGTCTTTGGCCTCCAGAGATCCATTGTTCCTTGGGGACTTGCTCATTAGCATGGCCATAGGCTGAGCATTCTTCATCTATTCTCAGCCACAAACAGAGAAATATTCAGTATCCACGCAGAATACATGCTTATGACTTCACACACAGACATTATGCAATTACATGAAGAGCCGATACAGAATCAGTATAAAGTAAGCTTTTATTTGACACCTCACATGGCCCCCCTTTGTACCACTTTTGGGGCAAACACAGCCCCCCCCGATGGGTGCAGCAGTGTTATGGCTGCTCTCCTCAAAATCCAGTAACGTGACAGGGGGAGGAGGACAGCACACCCGGGTGGGAGGGAGGGAGAGGGGGATGGCACATCTGTGTGGGACAGAATCAGTATAAAGTAAGCTTTTATTTGACACCTCACATGGCCCCCCTTTGTACCACTTTTGGGGCAAACACAGCCCCCCCCGATGGGTGCAGCAGTGTTATGGCTGCTCTCCTCAAAATCCAGTAACGTGACAGGGGGAGGAGGACAGCACACCCGGGTGGGAGGGAGGGAGAGGGGGATGGCACATCTGTGTGGGAGTGATGGGGGGGCGGGAAGG